TAAGTTCAAATTTAAAACAACAGAGCAGCTAAAATACTAGGTTGTGTGTATGTTTTATGCAGTTTTTGTATCTCTTCTGAATTTTAGTGAGCAGTTAACCATAAATTGCTTAGTTTTTTTGCTGTTAGATGCAAGTAGATTGTTTCAAGTTGTGTGTGTACAGTACGTAAGAACTAAACTTTTATGCCAATGACTCTTGTGGTTAGTTGGTGTATTGATAGATATCAAATTTAGCCATCTCTTCTTGAGTAACTAAAGGCTTGCTTTTACATTTCAAAATTTATGTAGTTGAACAAGTCTGAATTTATACCCTTTAGTCCAAGACTGTTCAGTGTTTTGGTTACAATATTTCGTTTCAAATTACTTAAGAACAAATGTTCCAGGTTGGACATGAACAAGAGCTGCATCTCTGGCTATTTTGTTTATCACAGTATCTTTGGTAAATTGAATGTGGAAAAAATAATTACAAAACTAATATGTAATTTCACAAATATTTCTCTGGAAGGCAAGATATTTTGTTATGAAAATGGCTTCTGGCAATGTTTTTTATATTCAAATTTGAGAGCCAGCATCAAACACCTAGTGTTCCTTGCTGTCTGTATAGTAGCACATAACGATGCTGGTGAAAAGTAGTATCCTTTTTAGAGAAAAACGTATAGGTTTTGGGTTTTAGTAACTTCAGCAGGGCCTTTGAGAAAACACAGATGGCTTTTAAATATTGGCTGTGGAACGTGCTTAGGGGGGTGATTCTAGAACCTTTGTATATTTAATAGTATTTCTAACTTTTTCTTTACTGTTTGCAGTTAACGTTCATGTTCTGCTATGCAATCATTTATATGCACGTTCCTTTAATTTTGTAGACTTTCCTGGATGTATAGTTTAAAAACAACAAAGTCTATTTAAAACTGTAGCAGTAGCGTGCAGCTCTAGCAGAGGAAAGTTGTGGGATTAAACTTTGTATTTCCTTTCTTATAGAGGCTTCTAAAAAGGTATTTTTATATGTTCTTTTTAACAAATATTGTGTACTACCTTTAAAACATCAATGTTTTGATCAAAGTAACTAAAGACCCAGCTTATTTTCTGCTTGCTGTAAATTTAGCAAACATGCTGTAATAAAAAGAAATGAAGGAAATATCGATCCATTGGAATTATTCTAGCTTTAATATTTGACTCCAGAGCAAGGTTAGGAACAGTGGTGCCCCCTTTGGTTTAATAAAGGCATTTCAGTTCTTTATCGCATGATGTCCAGCTGAATCACTGTCCTCTTCTTAAGGGTTAACAGGGTGAAATGAAGAAAAATGCCAAGTTGGGCTTTTTTTAGGCTAATTTATGTTGTCATTAATCCTGTTATATTCCATCATCAAGAATATTCCATAACCACGCAGCTTCCCCATCTTGTCATATTTGAGGTGGTTCAATAGCCACATCCTGAGTGGGAGGTAACTCGTATTTAAAGACGCATACAAAAACAAAAATTTAAAAAAATGGCTAACAATTGTTTTATTTCTGCCATGTCATGTAATATACCAGCAGTGCAGTGTTACAGTTGAAATAGCCATCTCATCAAGCGGTTC